ACAGAATTCCTAAGAATTAATGGCCCCAACCCAGTCCAGTTATCACACCAGAAGTCAACTGTACATCCTGAACCAATTAACATTAGAGTATGTGTCACCACCAATTCAAACCAGGGGGCCAATTCTCTATATCCTCTGCCATGGAAATGCTACAAAATTAAATTGACGTTTACTACAACTGAACTGGCGTTTATTTAATCGACAACTCCCTTGTAAAATTCTGGTGACTAGAGCTATATTATGACGTTTATTTAAACGCCAGTAATTATTATTTCTGAGCAAATGATAATTAATATTTTTTTATAATAAAACCTAGCTCATTTTTTTTAATCAAAATAGAAAATTTTATTTATAAACAAAACAGAATTACAAAAAGCAAAAAGAGAGAGACAAACCAATCTCCATAACAAGAAAACAAGAAGATAAACAAAACTAGGTGAAGACTACTCCATCAGTCAACCCCTTTACTATTCAGCCATGTCAGCTCTCAAATAGTAACAACTGAAGCACTAGCAACGTAATAGCAACCCATAAAACGGCATCTCCAAAGCAAAGTCTTCACCACAACCACCCTTACCTATCCAAAGATTTCAAACAACAAAAGCCAAAACACTAGCCCTTATCATCAATTTTCCTCTTGCACAAAACAGGCAAACCAAGCTGATCAGAAAACAAGGCCAACCCAATGTCACCAGGCAGCATGAGCAGCTAACCTACTAGCAACCGCATTAGCTTCCCAAAAAATATGTACCAGGTTGAATTCCAAACAACCTAGCACAGACTTGATGAAAAATAAGCACTAGCAGCATTGCATTTTCACTAGAATGAAAATTTTAAATATTCAGGGATTCTCCACCAGATGAAAAATAGATAATCAAGCTACTAAGAATACATTATATGACTAAAGAAGGTAAAATGGATTGGCACATTTCCATCCAAGGCAATCTAATGCGAACAAAATGTGGGTAAAGAAGGTACAAATCAAAGAAGAAAATAACTAAAATTTCTATGTATCAAGCTTTTGAAGAAAAGCAACAAAAAATATCAGAAGTAGCATGGATACTGGAACCAAACAAATATCCTAAAACTTGATCGTAAATAAGAATTTCAAAGGCATTGAACCTCTCATAAATGATTGATGTGGCTAATGAATTTATAAATCAAAAAAAAAACTAAGACCTTCCGCAAAATCAGTTCAAATGTGGATCCCGTGCTTTATTTTGCTTGGCCAAATGACTGGCTGTAGGTTTCATTAAAGTTAAACTCCTTGGTTTAACTGATTTAGCCATTGAATTTCTTTTTGCTTTCAAAATGTNTATACCGGTAATTACCTGTGCCGCGTGCACCTTAATCCTAAAAATTTATAAATATTTTTTCATAAATAAAGATAATGTATAATACAATTTCAATAATACAACGATTAATTTAACAACTACTTCAACATATTAATTTAACAATTTGAGAAAATATAATTTTTATCGATAAAAAATTTACTATTTTAACATTTTTAATAAATTTATCCCAATTTTTAAAAATATATAAATATTTGTTTTTCTGTAAGTTTCTACCTAAAGTTTATAACATTATCTCTGCACCATTTTTTTAATGTAATTTCGTGTAACTTTTGTGAAAAAAACATTCAAAAGTTTTACCTAAATTCTTGTAAATGTAAAAAATATTNAGTTCGTATAACTTTTGTGAAAAAAATATTCAAAAGTTTTACCTAAATTCTTGTAAATGTAAAAAAAATTGTTGAAAAATTAAAAACAGTTCACATTTGAGTTCAACTTAAATATTCGTAAAATTCAATCGAATTTAAGTTTGAGTAAGGTTATTTTCATCCCACAAATCTCTATTTTCACCCCATTTAATTTATCATTATCCAATTAGTAAGTTCACCCCTTCCATACTTATTCCATTAATAATTAAGTTCACCTCATACTATATACACCCCTGTTTAATAAGTAAACTCACTTTATATTTTGTCATAATTAAGGTTTCTTTCTCTATTTCATTTCATGCACTCACAAAAATATTTTTTTAATATGAATTTTTTCAGTGAGATACATGTTCTCAATTTAATTCTATATTTGATTTTCTGTTTGTTGTATGGATTTTTAATATTTTTGGTATGTGTTGATATCTCTGTCAAATTTAATAATTTTTTATTTAAAATTTATATGTGTGTATATATATGTATGCTTTCTGATTATTTATTATTTTTTTATCTTGTTTAGGTTTTGCATCTATGCTTATTATTTTTTTTCTTGTTCTATTTTATATTTATGCTTAATACTTTTTTTTTCATGTTCGATGTTGTGTCTTGTGGTTTTGTGTTTTGTAGTTTTGTTTGTTTCTTTAATCTTTATTTGATTTTTGTTTCCTTCTCGGTTTGTGTTTTTTTTTTCTTATTTTGTTCTTTTCTTTTTAAAAAATGTGTATGTAACATGAGATGAGTATAGAAAATGTGAACTTAATAGATTGATAATGAGTAATTAAATGGGATAAGAATAGAGATTTGGGGGTGGGAATAATCTCACCTTTTAAGTTTAAGAAAGAATTTATACTTTATATTCGATAATCAAATTTAGCTCAATTCGAGTCTTAATCACAATTATGTCAAATTGAGAACTAAATTTAAGTTCGACTCAAATAACACTTCTATGTTAAACCTACAAACTAATTCTTATTTATTCCCGTTCATTGTGATGCCATAACTTTTTTTTTTAATTTAGTTATTATTTATTACTTTTACAATCAATTTCAATTTGATTTCAACTTGAATACTCATTAAATTTAAGTAAAAATATATACTTTTATACTTGACAATTAAATTTAGCTCAATTCAAATCATAATCATTTCGAATCGATAATCAAGTAATATGAAATTTGGAGGAAGAATTTCAATTGTTTGATTAATAATCGTAAACTATAAAGCACGGATACGAATACGATATGATACGGGTACGAGGATACGACAAAACCAAAAAAAATAGGATACGGGTACGGCTAGGATACGTCTATAAAATATATATTTTTTAAAATTTTATTATTATATTTAATGTAATAATTATGATTTATAAAGTAANGTACGAGGATACGACAAAACCAAAAAAAATAGGATACGGGTACGGCTAGGATACGTCTATAAAATATATATTTTTTAAAATTTTATTATTATATTTAATGTAATAATTATAATTTATAAAGTAAGTCACATTTCTATCAAAGATATATAATAATAACTAACCATCAGAGTCAGTCGATCGTCACTGTGAGAGAGAGAGAGAGAAAGACGATCGTCATCGAGTATCGACTAAAGGGAGTGGGGGCCTTGACGGGCTGTGAAAGAAAAGTGTACAGGTTTTAGTCTTTTAGACTTTTAGTTTAATAATATATATATTTTTTGCAAATAAGGGCCTAAATATATTGCTCTTGTACCCCTATACTTTTTTAAAATTCGATTAATACCCCGTCGTATCCTTAAATGTATCTTAGGCGTATCTCACGTGTATCCAAAACGTATCCGGCCGTATCCAAAAATCAATTTTTTTTTTTAAATTTTAGGATACGTCTCAGACGTATCCGACGCATATCCGTATCCAAAAGTATTCGATACGGATACTTTGACCCTTTTGAAGTATCCGTGCTTCATAAATCGTAAAACAATATGAGCTGAGAAAAACTCAAGACAAATAATGTTAGCTCCCTTAGTACATAGATATATCACATTACATAAATATTATTCGATTATTATACCATTCGAATATTATAGTATTTTTATTTCAATACAAAATATGACTCATATTGTAGTCATTCTACTCATTTTGACCCAAATAATCTATATTTTATAGTCCATTTATTTATTTGAAATGTTTAAAAATAATATTTAATTATAATTATAATTAATGACCTAATTAATGTGTAGTATCAGAGAGAGATATAGAGTTATAAAAGAGATATAAGTCTTAGAATTGTGGAAGGAAGAAAAGTCCTGCTCAAAAAATTGGGGGAGAGGAAATTTCGTATTAGGATTGTCGGATCAATATTTCTTCAAGTGATCTGAGCCACGAAAAGTTAAAGACAAAGAAATTTAGCTACTTTATTATATAGACTAGTTATTGCTTGTGTCTGAAGACACAGAATAATAAAAAATGATAAATAATAAATATATTATATTTATATCTAAAATAAAATCACAAACATAGAGAAAAGATAAAAAAATTTAAACATCGGTTTGTAGTGAGGGTGAGAGATAGTGGACAGTAATGGTGGTGATAAGAGACAATAATAGTTGTGGTGGTGATGGTGGTAGTGATAGTGGCGGTGGTGGTGGTGGTGGTGGTGAAGGTGGAGGGGATGGTGGTGATGGCGGTGGTAGTGGCGGTGGAACGGTTCAAAACAATATTTTTTTTTAAAAGTATTTATGTGAAATAATTTATAAAAACACTTTTAAAAAATTACTCTAAACACTCTCTTAGAAATCTAATTTTTTCTATTAAATTTAGAGTTTTAATATTAACCGTTAGATTAATTTTAAAGTAAAATTTAAAATGATCTCAACCGCGAATAACAAAAATTATTTTGTTTATTTTTTTGAGATTTAAATTGTAAATTACTTTATTATATAGATATATCACATTATATACATATTATTCGCCTATTATACCATTTAAATATTATAATATTTTTATTTTAATACAAAATATGACCTATATTGTAGTCATTCAACTCGTTTTGATGCAAAGAATCTATATTTATAGTCCATTTGTTTATTTAAAATTTTTAAAAATAATCTTTAATTAAAATTATAATTAACGATCTAATTAATGTGTTGTATCAGAGAGAGAGATAAAGAGTTATAAAATAGATATAAGTCTTAGAATTGTGAAAGGAATAAAAGTCTTGTTCAAAAAATTGGGGGAGAGAAAATTTTGTATTAGGACTGTCAGATTAATGTTTCTTAAAACGATCTGAACCGCGAAAAACTAAAGACAAAAAAGTTTAACTACTTTATTATATAGATATATATATACACACACACACACAACATCGGAACAAAAATTTCAGACAAAAAATTTAGAGGACAACATTGAAGTTTTTCGATACTTTCAGAGAGAAAATGATCAGAGAGAGAGAAAACGAACAAAGAGACGCCTAAGAGAGAGCCGAAGAGGAGTTGCTTGTGAGAAGGACAATCAGGAGTCATCGCCTGAGAATAATGTCGTCGCCAGAGAAGCCGAGGGAATGAATTGGGGAAAAATTTAGATTTATGTTGGGGGAGGAAAAAAAAAAATCTTTTATTATTTTTAATTAAGAATTTGTGACGTTTGCCTTAAACGTCGGAAATTAAGCGAAATTTTTTTTAATTATTTTTTTTAATAATTTTTGATGTTTATAAACAAACGTCAATTTTAACGGCGTTTAAATTAAACATCAGAAATTAAATGTCGAATTTTCCCACAATTTTTGTAGTGTTGTTCCTTTTGAACACAGTCTTTGCATCTGTGTGTTGCTTGCTGTTTTTTTTTTTTTGCTGTTGACGACAAGTCCAAACTCCAAAGGTCGAGAAAAGATAGTAAAAAACTTTTGGAGGAAAAAAAATAAAAGAAAAGTGATTTTGGGATAAATTCAGCTTTTGCATACAAGTTTATCATATATAATTTAATTAATTAAAGTTGAATTTGCAGGCTAAAATATAATAAAGTGTTATAAATTTAGAGAAAAAAATTAAAATTTGTTAATATAACAAAATAAATTTTCAAATGATAAATGTTAGTAGGATTTTGACTAAGCTACTCCAATCTACTTTATTTTTAACTNTGTAAAAAACTTTTGGAGGAAAAAAAATAAAAGAAAAGTGATTTTGGGATAAATTCAGCTTTTGCATACAAGTTTTTCATATATAATTTAATTAATTAAAGTTGAATTTGCAGGCTAAAATATAATAAAGTGTTAAAAATTTAGAGAAAAAAATTAAAATTTGTTAATATAACAAAATAAATTTTCAGTTGATAAATGTTAGTAGGATTTTGACTAAGCTACTCCAATCTACTTTATTTTTAACTATTTTGTGTGTTTGTTATTTGTATGAACGCGATAAAATCTCAATTAATAAAAAGTTAAAATAAGGAATCTTTTTAATATTTACATAAAAATTAAGTTAAACTAAAAAATAATAATAAAAAAATATTTATTCATTTGTATCACTATAAATTTGTATAATTGAATTTGTAGTTGCTAGGGCCCACTTCACTTTGTTTAGACCTCTAATTTAAAGTCCGAAAAAAATAGCCGACTAAATACTACTCATATAATGCCTACTTATATAAAGACTAATCCGGNAAAATTAATTTAATTTACACCCGTTCTATCTATAAATTTGTATAATTGAATTTGTAGTTGCTAGGGCCCACTTCACTTTGTTTAGACCTCTAATTTAAAGTCCGAAAAAAATAGCCGACTAAATACTACTCATATAATGCCTACTTATATAAAGACTAATCCGGCGCTGAGAGACACAAACACAGTCATGGATTTCTCGGAAGAGTGGAAATCGCTGTGGCCAATATCATCCGTATTCTCACCCCCACTCCTCTCGACCACTGAAACCGGACCTCTGATCTTCAATCCATCGCCAACTACACTCACCCAACTCTTCTCTTCCCCTTCTCTCTCCCCTCTTCTCCCTCCTCCTTTCCCCAATCTCTCTCTGACAAGATTCCTCCAAACTTCCACCGCAGACTCTTTTCTCTTACCTTCCACACGCACATCTATTGCTACCCAGTTCGGGCTTCAAGTCCCTGACCCATCACCGCTACTCTGCAACCGCATTCAATTGCTCCGATGCCCTGGAACAGCGTCTGTTGTTGTGTTTTTTCCTACCGGCGACAACTCTGATCAAGTAGGGTTTGTGATTCTCTCAGTGAAAGATACCCAGTTGGATGTTAGAGCTTTGGGTGACAGTGGGGATGTTTTTGTGGCGGAAACTAAGTTGAATCAACGTATTCTGAGATTATTGGTGAACCCAGTTGCCGATTTTGATTTTTTGTGTTCTAGTTTGGGTAAGTCTTGTTTTATTACTATTGGGTATTTATTAGCCTGTACAATGTACTCTGTGTTTTGGTTTAGAGTTAGGATTAAAAAGACTGATTCCGACTTAGAGAGAGTAGTAGTAGATTTTTTGGGTAGTAAGTTATTTAAGACTTGTGCTGTTGTTCATGCTTGCTGGAGTCCACATTTACCAGAAGAGTGTGTGGTATTGCTAGAGAGTGGTGAATTGTTCTTGTTTGATTTGGATTCTTGTTGTAAAACCAGGGGTTTGATTAAGAGATTTTTGGGAAAGAAGCTAAGAATTTTATGGAGTGATTTCATTGATTTGGAGAAGGGGCAGTGGTTGAGCTGTGAATTTAGCTGGCATCCCAGAATTGTGATTGTTGCTCATTCTAGTAATGTGTTTTTAGTTGATTCGAGGTCAGAGGGATGCAGTGTCACCTGTTTACTGAAGATTGACAGATTGGTTATGGGTAATCCTATGAGGAGTGATCAATTTATTGCATTAGCTAGGGCGGGTTCTGATGGATTTTATTTTACTGTGGCCTCCAATTACTTGCTAATTTTATGTGATGTAAGGAAACCACTGATGCCAGTGTTGCAGTGGGCACATGGTCTTGATAACCCGACGTTTATTACCGTGTTCAGATTGTCTGATTTAAGGTCGCACCCAAAGGATGATAGATATAAGTGGGCATCTGATTCAGGCAATTGCATTATACTGGGATCGTTTTTGAATTGCGAGTTTAGTGCCTTTTGCTATGGACCAGGTAATAAAGGATGTGTTGCTTTTGAAATTTTGAAATTCTCCAAATCCTTTTGTGCTTGGGGACTCCCTTCGGAGCTCTCTTTATCTGGTCGTGGTTGTAACTGTGGAAGTTGTCTTGTAAGCGAAGAATTCTCAAAGGATGCTCTTCCTGAATGGATTGATTGGCGGCAGAAGAAAGAAATAGTTTTGGGGTTTGGCATCTTCGATAAAGGTCTCTCTGTTCAGTTGTATGAGCCAGATAGTTTCGGTGGATTTTCAGTGATTAGGATGATGTCCTCAGGAAAGCTTGAAATGCAAACCTACTCTGCTGCTTGGGAATTTTGGAATAATTCAGAAGCCCACAAAGGGTTAAGAAAATCAATAAATCATTTTGAAGATTCTCTTCTATATGCAATAGGTAACGAGGAATATAACTTTCCCAAGAAGTTTCAGTACCTGAAACTTGACTATCTTGAGGGCAGTTTGAAAGATAATCTTGCCAAAGTACTGGTTAAGAAAATCAGAAAGCTCAGTGAACGTCCTGGCAGAAAGGACTCTTCTGAGTCAGACTTCCATCAACATATATGTCAGAAGTTGAAGGCTTATGGGTTCACCAAATCGAGATCCTCTCCTGCAATTTACGACGTTTTGAAGTACATCAGCTCCCCAACCAGTATACATGATATTGCTTTAAAGAGCATTTGGGGTGGCTTGCCTATGAGTATTTTATGTTTAGCTTTCTCCACCTGTTCTGACCTCCTTGAAGTTCTTATGAACCACAAAAAGGTATCCCCGGAATTTTTGGATATTCCAGATCAAGGCCAAATGCCTCCTTTTCCCTTGCGGAAGCCTTCATGTCGTAGCAGTAAGTGGTCACACAAAACGCAGCCTAGTGATGCTTTAGTCGGACCAATTGTTCCTATTCGTGTTTTGATTATACTTCGTAAGCTTTATGAGGCAGAGGAAACTGATGGATTGTCTGCTAACACGGAGCTTGAACTTCACTGCAATAAAGTCATGCAGGTAGCCAATGAAGTTGCTGCATCGACTTCTGGTTCTGGGCTTTATAATGAACATGCTGTTTCCCTTGCCGATGATACAGAAGAGACGTGTTATGTCTCTCAAAACGAAAAGCTTTATTCTTTGCATGAGCCAGTTGCGTTTTCAGGCAAGCTCTCAACTGTTGATCCAAACCCAGGGAGTTCTGGATGTGAGAGTGAGAGATTTACAACCTTAATTTTCAAAAAGCATCAGGAACTTGTCTCCAATTCCAAAATGAAGATGGGCGGACTAGAACTATTTGACAAGTGGTGCCCATCAGAGTTGAAGTTTAATGATCGTGCCATGAACTTTGGGCCGAAGGAGCTAAAAACTTACAAATTGCTGATGCGCCAAGACAGAAAATTTCAGGAAGGCTTTGAATTATATCAAAAATATAGTAGTAGGTCCAATTTCCCCAAACAAGAACTGTAACAACCTCTTCGCTCGCCTTCCTTTTATTTTGTAATTATTCTTGGGCGATAGTGGGCGAGGTTGTTTCTTATATTTTGACATGTTGTTAACCTCATTGTATAGCTAGGAAAAACTTCTGTTGTATTGGATAAATTTGAATGAAATCCATTTTTACATCAAATTGAGAGAATGTTATCAACTAAATTCTACCTCAAACCGATTTGAAGTTGAATATTGTGTTCTACATTTCTTTATTATTTGCTTTGTTTTCTCTTCCTATGGATGAAATACCATATTTGAGTCTTTGCAGTGCTTCGAGATTATATTCCACGCCAAGGATTTGTGCTTATGAATCGGGGTGAATATTTCAGACTAGCGGATTTGGTGATCGACAATTGTTTGGACTTGATAAAGGTTGTCACGACACCTTTGACCCAAACAAGTTTGCTGTATAAAAAAATCTCAACAAAAGGAGGTGATAGTATAATCTGTCAATGGCCAATCACGCGTATACCTTGACTCCCTTCGCACTAACATTAAGAGCAAATTCGAGCTTCTTTAGTATTCATTTATTTTAATAATTTAATTAAATTATAAATCCTCAGTTGTTAAGTATGTGAATACCCACCACTCGTATGCAACGTGTGGGCAAATTTTTGGCATCCTATTTTTATAAATCCAATTCAAACCTCTGTGCAAAATCCTCATCACAGATTGTTCTTCCTCCTCCTCCTCCTCATCTAATTTCTTTGTATGTATGATGATAATGAAACGTATATATGCTTCATTGTCCTTTCATTTTCTTGTCAGATCAGAGTTTATGAATCCAAGGTTTCCTTTTGTTTACATTTTTTTCCTTTGGAACATATTCTTGAATTCATTGCCAATGTCAATGTCTATGTCATTGTTGCAATGCTGATAGATGCGATTGATCCAANTCCTTGAATTCAATGCCAATGTCAATGTCTATGTCATTGTTGCAATGCTGATAGATGCGATTGATCCAATGGTCTTTCACATTTGGACAGATGGATAAGTCGTGGGTTTAATTTGGATAAATAAGTTTGAATATGTTCCGCTGATGAATTGTTTGAGAATATGTCACTGTCACATATAAAAGATTTAATTTATATATGAATGTATTTGTAAGTTTTGGGGGAACATTTGTCGTTTGTTTTTCCATTGTATTTGTATCAATATTGTTATTGTGTATTGTTTCTTAGATTATGTGCCACGTATCTTAATATTGTTCGGGTTTTGATATTAGATTTGGGTTAATATTGTATGATAGCTTTTGTGTTTGATCGTAGAATGTAAAAAGATTTTCCATTTTTTACCATGTAGATTTTATACTTGTTGTCTTTCATGANCATAGACCGTAAAAAGATTTTCCATTTTTTACCATGTAGATTTTATACTTGTTGTCTTTCATGAGTTATGTGCTGGTAAATTTGGCATTTTGAATTTAATTTCTTTGCAGTAGAATTCTTTTATTTGTCTTGAGAGTTTCTCATGTCATTCTAAAGCATGAAGCTTAAGGAACGTGGTGATTAATTCAATTTTGTATCCATTTATCTACTTGTTTGTAAAATTGTGATTTTGCATGCAGTGAATCGTGAAAATGGAGGGAACCGTGTTTACCCCCTCTTTGGAAGGAATGAAGCATGTCAAGTCGGAGCAAAGGGGAAATGCTAGCCAAGCCTTTCTTGGATGTGTGCAAACTTTTGTTGCCTGTTNATGGAGGGAACCGTGTTTACCCCCTCTTTGGAAGGAATGAAGCATGTCAAGTTGGAGCAAGGGGAAATGCTAGCCAAGCCTTTCTTGGATGTGTGCAAACTTTTGTTGCCTGTTCTAGGTGTGTTTTGGCTGAGGAAATTATTAAGAACTCAGCAATTTTGCTGAATGTGTGGTTCACCTTATCATTATCATCTTCATGATTATTATTGCTATTATTGTAACCCTATTACTATTATGCTTTAATGGTGATATATAGCCTACTCATATGGGGATTATTAAGCATTTAAGACTATATTCTTAGAGGTTAGTTTGTGCAGGCATCATATGCTTTTTCATTATCATATATTATGGACAACTAACAAGGTCTAGATTGAAGCTTGTTACAACATTTTATTGAAAAATAATTGGCAATGGGTGAAGTGGCAATTGCCACTTCGGTTTATCTCTCCACTCAAATGGGGAGAGACAAATGTAAGAATTAAAGGAAAAATTTAGAGACATAACAAGTACACATACAACGGGAGCCTCAATTGCCAAGTACACATACAACGGGAGCCTCAATTGCCAAACTGATGGGATTGAGTATTGTGCAAACCCTTCCCAACCCAACTTTGATAC